GGAAGCTTTCATTAAATTGCACTTCTGTACATTTGAACGGTATGTAAATTATCCCTCATAAAATAAAACGATTATTAATAAAAATGATGGGCATGACTCACTAAAAACAAAGAAAAGCCCCTTGGGTGTGCGACTGACCTTTTAATAATTTCAGACTTTTATAGTATCTTAACTACTAGTTGATATTAATAGAAGGAGGAAACATTTCTTTCCCATGGTAATCTTTTGATAAACTGAGTTACTTAAAGGATTTTTTTTTGAAAAAAAGATGCATTGAAAGACTTTTTATTTAAAAAATGGTATGGTAGATTGAACAAAATGTCTTCCACAAGTCTTGGACACTTGAACACATGCTCCACGGTTGGTGGCTGTATGGTGAAATTACGAGTTATGGCCTTGTTACAAAAAGTATGTCACTTGGGGGCAAGCTCTGAGGTTTCGACTCCCCACCTCAAATTAGCTCTGTCAGCTTTCTTTTGTGGCTCCAGAGGTGAGCGTGCCGCTGCTGCTCCAGCAACCTGCAGCCCCTACTCTTCCACATGGCCCCTAGCCCTCTAGAACCATACATAAATAATCAACCAAATGAAAACAAACCCTTTATTTTATAATAAACCAAAGTAAACCATAATAAACAAAATACCATAATAAACTAAAATAAACCCTTTCTTTTATAAGCTTCCTTGGCCATGGTGTTTTATTACAGCAACAGAAAAATAACTAATATGAATAACTTATTTTTTTTAGATTTCCAGATTTTAAAAATGTAACTTAATATCTAATCACATCACTTCCCTCTTTCCCTTTCTTCCTTTTGACCCATCCCATATTTCCTCCCTTCACCTCTTCCCATGCTGCCCCCCACTCCCTCTCAAATTAATGGCTTCCTTTTCTTTGATTATTACTGTTCCATCATATATATGTACATTAAATGCATAGATATATAAATAAAAGTTGTTGAATCCATTGAGTGTTGCTTCAGAATATGATCTCAAGTCTGACCAGTTTGTACTGGATAACCAGTTAGGGGGTTCACCCCTGGGAGAGACTAATTCTCCCTCTTTCAGCAGTCATTAGTTGCCTGTAGGTCTTTGCAGGATCCCATGAGATTTCCCCCACCATGTTAGCGTGTCTGCTGGTGTTCTCATAGTTCATGCTGTCTTGTGTAGGCAGCCATGTTGTTGAGGTATCAATGAGTGTAGCTTCCCTGTCATCTCCAGGAGACACAATCTCATAGCGGATTTCTTGATCCACTGGCTCTTACAATCTTTCCACCTGTTCTTGTGTGATATTCCATGAGCCTCGGGTGTAGGGATTTTATACACATCTCAGTTGGGGCTGGATTCTCCTCAATCAGTTGTTCTCTGCATTTTGATAGTTGTAGTTTTCTGCAATGCCTTCGTCTGCTACAAGAGAAGCTTCTTTGGTGAGGGATGAGAGCACACATATCAGTGGGTGTGAGACTGAGTGCTGAGAATGTAGTTAGGAATGATGTTTCTTTAGTAAAGTGGTGATGGAATCTTCTCTAATATCCATGACCTCAGCAGCCCTATAGTTGGTTAGGCTTCTAGAACCGGACACAATTTACTTGTTGTTGATTGGGCCTTATGTGTTTTTGGTTGTTTCTAACTCTTTACTCTTTGCGGGGCCCACCACCCAGCTCCCAAATAAATACGCACAGAGGCCTATTCTTTCTTATAAATACACAGTCTTAGCTTGGCTTGTTTCTGGTCAGCTTTTCTTACCTTACATTATGCTGTTTATTTTTTGCTTCTGGACTTTTTATCTTTCTCTAGTCTACACACCTTTCTTTCTTTCTTACTCCATTGCTGGTTGTGTAGTGGGGTGACTGGTCTCTGATGTCCTCCTCTCCTTCTCCTTTGCTTGCTCTCCGATCCCCTTTATCTAGATTTCTCTTCCTATTTATTATTGATGCCTGCCAACCCTGCCTATCCCTTCTTCTGCCTTGGTATTGGCCATTCAGCTCTTCATTAGACCAATCCAGTGTTTTAGACATGCAAAGTAACACAGCTTCACAGAGTTAAACAAATACAACATAAAAGAATGCAACACACCTTTGCATCATTAAACAAATATTCCACAGTATAAACAAATGTAAAACATCTTAAAATAATATTTTACAATGCTTACTTAACTCCAAGTGGATCAAAGACATCTATTTGAAACCTGAAGTAACAAAACTGCTAGAAGAAAACATAGGCAGTGTCCTACATGATACATGTGTAAGAAAGAACTTTCTAAGTAGGACTCCATTTGTCCGGGAATTAAGGCCAACAATTGACAAATGGCATCCCATGAAACAAAAAAGATTCCACACAAACAAGGAAACAATCCATCAGGTGAGTTCGAAAGCCACACAGTGGAAAAGAATCTTTGTCAGCTATACATCTGACAGAAAATTAATATCCAGGATTAAAAAATAAAAATAAAAAGACCCAAGAAAACAAATGACCCAATTAAAAATGGGTTTTGGATCTGAACAGAGTTCTCAATAGAAGAAATAAATGACTAAGAAATGTCTCAAAAAGTGCTCATCATCCTTATTAGCATTTGGGGAAATACGAACTGAAAACACTTTGAGATTTCAACTTACCCCAGTCAAAGTAGCTAAGGTCAACAAAATAAATGACAACAAACAAATCCTGGCAAGGATTTAGGGAGAGGGAAGCCCTCATTTACTACTAGTGGGAATTTAACTTGCTGTGGGACAGTGGTCTGTACCCTGTCAATTGTACTTTAATAAAACACTGACTGGCCAGTAGCCAGGCAGGAAGTAGAGGTGGGACAAGGAGAATTCTGGGAAGAGGAAAGATTCAGTCTGCACTCGTCACCCAGACAAGGAGGAAGACAGACACAGAGCAAGCAAGATGTGACTGTCTTGCCTAAAAAGGTATCAAGCCACGTGGCTAACAAAGACAAGAATTATGGGCTAATATAAGTTATAAGAGTTAATAAGAAGTCTGAGATACTAGGACAATCAGTTTATAATTAATGTAGACCTCTGTGTGACTTCTTTGAGACTGAACAACTGCAGGACCGGGTGGATCAGAAACCTCAATCAACATATACTGGTGTAGCCACTCTGCAAATCAGTATGGAGACGCCTCAGAAAAGCAAAAATAATTCTACTATATAACTCAGCTGCACCAATCCTTGGCATATGTCCAAAGAGTTCAATACCTATTCTGCAGACAATATTCCCTGCCAGGAAGTGGAAACAATCTAATTATCCTTCAACAGATGAATGAATAATGAAAATGTGGTGTATATACATAATGGAATACTATGCAACTATAACGAAGAATCAAATCATGAAAGTTACAGATAAACAAAATGAACCAGAAAATATTAAATTGAGTGAGATAATCCAAACCCAGAAAGACAAATGCTGCATTTTCTCTTTCATCTGTGGTTCTGAACTCCTTATCTTCAGATGTGAATATATATCCTGGAGTAAACACAGAAACCAGAGATATATAAAAGGACCATGTGGGGGTGGGAGCTTAGAGAGGGGAATACAGGTTATATGGAGGACCAATGGGATAAAAGGAGAGGGATATGGTTAGGGAGGGGGAGGGAGGTCAGTACAGGACAGTGAGGGACAAGTAACAAGGATGCTTGAGAAAGCCAAAACATATCCCAAACTGTATACATAAATGTGTGTTACACACACACACACCCCTTAGATGAAGTTACACCACTTGAACCAACAATGCTACCCACAGGAGCCATAGATTGTCTAACAAAAACTCTATTCACAGGCATGAAAAAAACTCCTTTGAGATGGTTGGTAAGAGTACTCCAAGTGACTCCTAAAATTATAGGCTATTGCTATTGCCTTTTGTTGCCCCTCAGAGGTCGAAAGCAAGTGCCTATTGCTGAAGACAGCACACCCTTCAAAAAGGATTTGGAAGAGTACAGCTGGATCTAACCTGAAAGCCTCCTTCCTGTGGCATAGGTTTCATAATACCAGAAAGCGTTAGCACAGCAGACACGGGAGGGAAGTGACCCATAGTCCTACCCATCTGTGACTTCTATGAACCACAATGACCGACTTGGCAAGATACCACTAATGGTGCAATAGTGGCATTCATATCTTGGCGGTAACTAGTGCTCTTTTTACAAGGCGAGACAACCTTTAACTTAACCAGTGTGGAACATGGTGTTGAATGCCAACCTTTGTGTAGGAGCACGGAATGGTCCCTAGAGCTACACACCCAACCAAGAGTTTTACTTCAGGCTCCTCAGTGGTCTGGTATTTTTACAGTGTATTCAGGTAAGAAATGAGTCTTCAATGAAGTAACATTTTCCCCCTACATTCAATTTCATTTTCTGTCCGAAACAATCTCAAAAGCCAGTTTTCTGGAAAAATGCTGTTAAGGCCAGCAACTTGGATATATTTTAAAAATTAAGCGGGGCGGTGGTGGTGCACGCCCTTAAACCCAGCACTCCGGAGGCAGAGGCAGGCAGATCTCTGTTGAGTTCAAGGCCAGTCTGGTCTACAAGAGCTAGTTTTAGGGCAGGTTCCAAAGCTTCAGAGATACCCTATCTCGAAAAATATTATTTACTTTTATGTTTTAACTCTCTATGGCTAAAAAACTCTCTTTCTCTAACGTTTACTTTATTTTTTATGTAAGTCCGACGGGGCGCAAACTTGGGTCCCTCAGTAAATCCTAACATCCCAGCAGACGAAAATGCCTACAGTCAAAAATGGTGGAGGGACCACAACTCCCAGAATGCAGAGCTTTCTAAGCTTCCTGTTGCTCCAGGATCGGGGGGCGGGTCTTGAGTCTCCTTTCCTTCCTATTAGGGAGGAGAAAAAGAGGACATTTCTCCAATCCAGGTACCGAAGGGAAGGCCGGAACAAGAAGAACCTCACTATTGGACAGTTGCAATCCGGAAATTAGAGGGATTAGCCAATCATCATGCATCTCGGCTCCCCGCGCCCTCCACCGTAAACTTCCGTGGCGGGAAAACTTGGGAAGTTTTCGCGCCAGGGCGGAGTCACGCGGGTTTTCTCGACACTGTTTGGCGGCCGGTGATTTCGGGGCAGCGGCATGGCGGGCACCGTAGTGCTGGACGACGTGGAGCTGCGGGAGGCGCAGAGAGACTACTTGGACTTCCTGGACGACGAGGTGAGGCTCGGGCGGCCGGCCTTGGCTGGTGCTGGGGACCCCGCGGATGACCAGGCCCGGCAGCTCGGGTGTCTGCCGGTGACCCGGCCTGGCTGATGGGGTCCCTGTAGTTATCCTGGGCCCGGCGGCTGGGGTCCCCGAGGCTAGCCTGAACTTGGCTGATAGGGTTCAGTCCCTGATCTTTGCCGAGGGTCGTGGCCTCTGGTGCTTCTTTTTGCTGCGCAACTTCCTGATTTCTTTTCTTCTAACTATTGCTATTATTCCTCCAAAACAATATTTTTTGATGCCTTAAATTTGCATAAGTTAATTTTACATATGACTTTCATTATGAAATTTCATAATAATTCATTTTGACTGTATTCACTTCTCATCACCTCCTCTTCCCCTCTTTCATTCCCTTGCTCCCTCTGGTCCCCTTCTTCTATTTTCATGCCTTTTTTTTTCTAAATGAGTCAATGAATTTTTCCCGTGGTGGATTTCTAATTTTTTAATTTATTTTTAATTTTTATGTGATGATGTAGGTGGTCCCCAAGACCCTTTGCTTGCGGTCTTCCCCTGAGCTACATAGGCTTCTTGAAACTTCTCTTGGTTAGTCGATAGAGTTTTCTTCAAAACCCTCTAGTTTGTCTCGTGAGGACCCAGCTTGCTCAAGGTCCGGTGTCAACAAATGGTCAAGCCCATCTTAGCAATTGGATGGAGGGGAGGAGGTACCGCCCACAGAGTGCACCTAGGGCTGGGGCAACTGGCTCAGAGTGCTCAGATTTTAGTTACTGAGTTGCTGCTGGGGGTTGGGGGGAACTTCCACCAATCTGACTGTTTATTGATGTCAGACCAAAAGTATTTTGTGTGCAGGTAAAGTGAGGTTTCTGTGCAACCCAGAGTTTAAAGCTACAAGATGTTGGTGAACACTGAAAGTTTGTCGACTAATGAAAAGCAGTTTTAAGTTAAATTTTAAGAGTACTTAATTTACATTTTTATGTATGCTTGAAATATACATCATGATTTTGAAATAAGTCTGCAATCAGACATGTTAACATCAAGAATTTAAAATGAAATTTTCATACTAGCGAGTTTTTTACACTTACTGTTCTTTAAGAGGTAAGTCATTTTAAGTCCCAGTTAAAATATAAACATATATTGATCTTGACAGAATGGGATAGGGGATGCTGAGCAGGAAGAAAGGGTTGTATGCAGCCATTTGCTTCCTGGCAACCGTTTGAGACATATGAGTACCAGTACGCTGGTATCCTTATGTGTGACTTAATTGGTGGTCATTGTCATCTTCACTGGTGTCGACTTCAAGTAGCTCCCGAGTCCCCACTTAGGACTTTTGAATAGCTTAGTGTTGATACCTTCTGACATAAAATAGTATCCCCACAGCCAGTAACTGCTGTACAAATGGAACGGTCAGTGGTCACTAATGCGCTTTTGATGTAGACTGTGGTGTATTTTCCTTGTCCAGAAAGGCCTAGACCTGGTTCCATGATGGGGGAAGTCTTTATAGCCAAGGGAAAACTATCCTGCCAGTTGAAAGACAGAAAAGTATGTCACACCAAAGGATGAGAACTCAGAAATGACTATCCTTCCTTCGTGCGATATGTCCTTAAGTACCCCAAGTTCTAGGCACAGCTGCAGACCCCATTGCTGAGCCCACTTGCGTTCTGACTTCCACCGCTTTCCAGGTATCTTCTAACACTTCCCTGAATCCCGAGCTGGCTGTCTCGTAGATTCAGGCCAGCCTTACTCTCACTGAAGACCATCCCCCTCACTCCCCTGCCACCCCGTACCAGTTTTTGCAGATTCTCGCTGTAAACCATCTGCTTGCTTGTTCTTTTGGTCATTGCTCTTGAAATGGTCTTACTCTGTAGCCTCGCTTGAACTCAGCGGTGATCCTCCTGCCTCAGATACCTGAATGCTGGAATTAGAGTTTACCTCCAGTTCCCCACCTGAGTTCTAAACAAAACTTTTCCTCTTTGTGTTTCCTCCTGGAAGCTTTGGAAGTCTAAGCTTGCTGTCAAGAAAACCAGAGCCTACAGAAAGGGACCCTGAGTAACTATGATTCTTCCAGTCTCCTAGTAGGTTGTAGGTGAAATCCGAGGCTAGTGAATGAAGGAGAGAAATTGATAGTCACCGGTTTTGGATTTCAGCTGTTCTGAGACAGTTGCGTAGCTGTTTTTGATATGTCATGATTGCTCTGCAGGAAGACCAGGGAATTTACCAGAACAAGGTTCGGGAGCTGATCAGTGACAACCAGTACCGGCTGATTGTCAGTGTGAACGACCTGCGCAGGAAAAATGAAAAGAGGGCTAACCGGTGAGTGGTGATGGTTTGCAGATGGTCTGCTTTTGGCTGCAAAAGGCATCGTCTTGTTTAGACTGGAATAGGCTTTCCTGGGAAGGACCTGGAGTGTGTGGCTGCCATTGTCTCACAGAGAGGAGATGGTGGACATTTTGCTCTTATGTGCTCCCATCTTCCAGTGTTGGCTGAGTACCATTTTTATGTCTTTGATGAACTGAAGTGAACGTCAGTTTGGATGTATTTCCTGAGTCTTTTTTTTTTTTTGAAAGTAATTTTATTAAATTATAAAAGTTTCCATTTACGCCCCTCAGTCTTATACAGTGGCAGGACAAAGTAGAAATGGGTTTTTTTTTCCACTGCTCGTAATGACCTAAGACTGTTTCTTCTTGTTTTGAGGGTCAGTTTCCAGAACTCTGCCTGATTAATGGTTCTTTTTGTTTTGGTCTTATGCAGCCTTCTAAACAATGCCTTTGAGGAGCTGGTTGCCTTCCAGCGGGCCTTGAAGGACTTCGTGGCCTCCATCGATGCTACCTACGCCAAACAGTATGAGGAGTTCTACATAGGATTAGAAGGCAGCTTTGGCTCAAAGCACGTCTCTCCCCGGACACTCACTTCCTGCTTCCTCAGCTGTGTGGTCTGTGTGGAAGGCATTGTTACTAAATGTGAGTGGGTTGAAGACTGTGCCGGGGTCCTAAGGAAATGGTAGGATAGAGATTTAGGAGGTCCTGGAACTGGAAGAGTTGTAGCAGGGCTGGAGAACTTGTAGATTCAGAGAAGTGAAGCATTGACATTAAATGGTAGACTGTGGAGGACCTCAGGATCCACAGCTATTGGGGGGGGGATGGGAAGTGACCACCAGTGGTAGCAGAACTGTGTGTTTCCGAAGATGGAAGAGTCTTGCTCTTCCAAACTTACTCCAACCCCGAACTGTCCTTTAATTGACATCAGTGGTACTTAAAATTTTACATGGATACACTGATACCCTATGTGTATATGTGAAGATGAATAAATGACAGGCGTTTTTGAAATAGGTTAACGTAATTGGAAGAACACAGTAAAGTCGTTGCGTGGGTTGAGAGCCTTCCTTTGTCTGCCACTGTGTGACTTTATACATACCTTTGCATTCCCAGGCTCCCTAGTTCGTCCCAAAGTCGTTCGCAGTGTTCACTACTGTCCTGCTACTAAAAAGACCATAGAGCGACGCTACTCTGATCTCACCACTCTGGTGGCTTTCCCATCCAGTTCTGTTTATCCTACAAAGGTGAGGACATGCATGCACCAGTTTGGCTTCCTTGGGAGCTCCGAATCAAAGAAGACTGTTTTAATTCCAGTACTTGTAGAATGTCTCGGGTCTTTGTTCTAAAAGTAGATAATGTGAGATAGAATTAATTCTGAAGAAAGAAGGGATACAAGATAAAGTTGAATATAGAAATCCCACCAAAGTTGGGGATTAGAGAGTTGGCTTAGTTGGTACTTGTTATGCGAACATGAGGACCTGGGTTCAAATCTCCAGCACCCAAGTAAAAGGCAAGGCATACCTATGAATGCCTGCTAGCTGGCTAGCCTAGCTGAAACGGAGGATACACCTTATCTTTACGTGTATGAGTATGTGCACCACACATACAAAATAAAATTTAGAAAAGTTGAACTATAGAAGGCTGAAAAGGAGAAACATTGGGTGACAGGTATTTTAACAGAGTTGTAACAGAGTTATATAATGTGCTTTCTAAAAGTAAATGGAAAATGCATCTATTATTTGATGCTATTGTATAATCTTTGGATATTTCAGTGGATTTGGGAAAAAGACAGTAAAAAGCTTTCTTGAGTATTCAGGGTGAGAAAAATTGAAGATAACTTTCTTACGGAGACAAGAGATCATTAATATTGATTACTCGATCTCTGTACTCATTTAATCACATGATACCTCTTAGGAAATAGTTTTGTCTGGGAATAAGAAAGTACTCACTCTTAGAAACTGATAAGTACATGAGGTTATAGCACAGTCCCTGGCACATAGTGAACACTCAGTAAGCATGCTTGGCTTTTGTGATTTTCGGATATTCACATATAATTCAAGCACACCTTAATGTGTTTTATGGAAGATTAGCATATATTAATATATTATAATAAGTATATATAATCTGTATATTATATAGCATATAATTATAGCTTGAATATGTAATCTTCCATAAAATATATTAATATACAATAAATATTAATGTACTATAACCAATATATAATATGATTATATATTAGTGCATAATTATAGCAGGTTAATATTCTTGCACATTAATTGAATTAATGTGCATTAATATATTGATGTATTAATGTGTATTATATAAATAATCATGTATTGATATATAGTGTATATAATATATAATTATATATTATGGCTATACTATATGATTATAATACATGTATTAATAAACTATTTTATATATATAGTTTTCATATATACATATATATGTGTGTGTGTGTGTAAAAACTCTTAAGTGCATCATTTGAGATTTTATAAGTAGAATGTAGTCATATAACCAGCATGTAAAGTGAGAAACAACTTTCCAGCGAGTAGAAGTCCCTATTGAAGGCTGTGCTTTCCTGGTGTCTACACAGTCGTGGCTGTCCTGGAACTTACTGTGTAGACCAGACTGGCCTTGAACTCAGAGAGAACCACCTGCCCATGCCTTTGAAGTGCTGGGATTAAAGGCATGTACCACCACCATGCCTGGCAACCCTGGCATCATCTTAATAGTAGGTGTTCTTGCCCAGTGGTTCTCATCCTTCCTAATGGTACAACCCTTTAATACAATTCCTCATATTTCATTGCTGCTTCATAACTGTAATTTTGCTACTGTTATGAATTGTAATGTAAGATCCGTGTTTTCCAGATGACCCCTGGTTTTAGGTGACCCCTGCAAAAGGGTTGTTACTCCCAAAGGGCTCACAAGCCACAGGTTGCAAACGACTGCTTTTGCCTGTTTTGCTGTGTTCATGTTCTTGTGTTGAACAGCCTTGTGTATGATCACAAGTGTGCGTCTTATCAGAGTTTTTGTTTGTGTGACTATGCCACATGTTCTTACCTGTCGTCTTTAATTTTGCCTGCTAGGAATGGTGCTGCTATAAGCAGTCAGTAGCTCTGGTGCATATTTCTCTTGGGTATTTCTTGAAAGTGGAAAAACTGCATCAGAGTTGGGCATTTAGTACACACAGCACTCAGAAGCCAGAGGCAGATGGATCTCTGAGTTCAAGGCCAGAGTGAGTTCCAGGACAGTGAGGGCTACACAGGGAAACCTTGTCTTGAAAAAGAAAAAGGGAAAAGTGCATCAAATTGTAATCCCAGGTTCAGCATCAATACAGGGAGTCAGGATTTTGATTTAGGTGTTAGTACAGCTGTGGTCCCATTGGTGAAAACTGACCCTTCCACAGCTTGGTTTATTACTAATTCAGGGATCAGGCTAGGAAAGCTGTAAGAGATGCATATATTTTTATCATGATTGTAGATGGTAAAGTTTCAAATTCTCTGAAAGATGTTTTCCACATTAGATGAATGCTATATTTTTGAGACAAGACTGAAATGACTTGTTCTGTGGCCTTTTTTTTCTTTAGGATGAGGAGAACAACCCCCTGGAGACAGAGTACGGCCTGTCTGTCTACAAGGACCACCAGATCATCACCATCCAGGAGATGCCGGAGAAGGCCCCCGCTGGTCAGCTTCCTCGCTCTGTGGATGTCATTCTAGACGACGATCTGGTGGATAAAGTGAAACCCGGTGACCGAATACAGGTGGTGGGGACCTACCGCTGCCTTCCAGGGAAGAAGGGCGGCTACACCTCAGGGACCTTCAGGTAAGGATCTGCTGTGGACTGTTTGCGGCACCATGGTGGATAGTGTGCACTGCCCGCTGGTGAGATGGCCCAATGCTAGCACCTCCTCTTTCTCATATAGCACTGGGAATGTTTGCCGTCTTTGGCCACAAATACAGCCTCGGGACCAGCCTAGCCTAGGATTCCCGCCCCGCCTCCTTTCCATCCACACTTGTTTGTTGGACATTCCATCCTCACTGTGGCTCATGGACAAAGAGCCCATCTAGGTGTAGGACCCCCCACTCCCATGTTCTGGTTTAGTTTAATAGACCAAGAACTCTCAGTGGTGCTGGGTCCAGCGGGCTTCCTCTTGCTGTCCTGCAGGACTGTCCTGATTGCCTGCAATGTGAAGCAGATGAGCAAGGACGTGCAGCCTGCGTTCTCTGCCGATGACATAGCCAAGATCAAGAAGTTCAGTAAAACCCGTTCCAAGGTCAGTGAAGAGTGGGGTGGGTTGGGTTTGAAAGTGTTGTGTCCTGTGTGGCCATCTTTGTTCTACATCTGGAAGAAGGTGGGATTTTATTTTCCACTGAAGTATTTGTTACGAGCATCCAGTTTTATTGCGACTGGCAAGTTAAGGGTGTTTTTGCCATTTGATTGGTAATACTTGTTCTGGCTGCTTGGCTCTTCAGTTCAACCTAATGCAAATAAGAATGTAGGAGTTAAAATATCAGTGTACCATTGTGCCTTTCATATAACTGGTTTAGTTCTCCTGTGGAGACAGTCTCATGTAGCCCAGGGTGTCCCTGAACTCCTGATTGTCTTGTGTACACTACCATCTATGCTTTTACTTTTTATTTTGAAATAAAAAGTTTATATTTTCTGCGGGCTCCAGAAACCCCGCTGGGTCTCACTAGGCTTCTTATTCTGGTTCTTCCTCCTGTAGGATGTATTTGACCAGCTGGCCCGCTCATTGGCTCCTAGCATTCATGGGCATGACTATGTCAAGAAGGCAATCCTCTGTTTGCTTCTGGGAGGGGTGGAACGAGAGCTCGAAAACGGCAGCCACATCCGTGGAGACATCAATATTCTACTCATAGGTATGGTGCTGGGGACGCGTTTTATATACGGAAGCTTTTACCTTGAGGAGTGGGCTATAAAGACTTGTGCATATAAGATTATACCTTCTACAGCTGATCCCATTTCAGTTCCATCAAAGTGCAGAAGGCTAAAATGGATGTTTTTAAAAATGATCCCTGAAATTCTTGATGTATTATACCTAGACTGCATTCTGAGAATGGGAAAAGGGAAAAGTAACATCAGGTTACTGTGGGACTTGACCAGGAGGTGTGCTGTGGAAGCAAAATTTGCTGGGGTATGTGGGGACTTTCCTCAAGATTCACCACTGCCTTGTTCTGTAGGTGATCCCTCTGTTGCTAAGTCCCAGCTTCTGCGATATGTGCTTTGCACCGCTCCCAGGGCCATTCCCACCACTGGCCGGGGCTCGTCTGGAGTGGGTCTCACGGCTGCTGTCACTACAGACCAGGAAACAGGTAAGGGCATGAGGCTTCTTGGCCGAGGCCCAGCATGAGTGAGCAGACTCTCCAGGCTGGCTCTAGGCGCTGGCTTGTGTTGGGACTATTTGAAAGCTCGCTGAGGTGTGTTGTAAGACTGAATGCGCTGGCAAAGTAGGTCAATTATTGAAGGCTTTAGATCTCTGTTGCTAAACATGTCTTCTAGAAGATGGCTTGAATGATGGCAAAGGGGAAAACAGTTTAGAAGGAAGGTAAAAATGGAATTGGGGGAAAGACTTGAAGAGCAGTAAAGGAGCTTTGGTTGGCTGTCTCTGAGGGAGATGAGTCTGCAGCTGTGAGTGGCTCCTGTGAGGGAGGGCTCAGCAGGACCCGGGGTGGAGCTGAGAAGTCCCACAGCGGAGGCTCTTTACTGTGTTCTTGTGCACTGTGGTGACAGGTGCCTCGGAAAAAGACGTGAATCGTTCTCTGTCATCTGACTTAGACCGTGCCATGTACATTTACTTCTGATCCTAGGGGAGCGTCGCTTGGAAGCTGGTGCCATGGTCCTCGCTGACCGAGGAGTTGTTTGCATCGATGAGTTTGACAAAATGTCTGATATGGATCGTACAGCCATCCACGAGGTGATGGAGCAGGGTCGAGTGACTATTGCAAAGGCTGGCATTCATGCTCGGCTGAATGCCCGCTGCAGTGTTTTGGCAGCTGCCAATCCAGTCTATGGCAGGGTAAGTGGAATCCAGCCTATAACCTCTATTCTTGGGTTAATTTGGTTTTGCCTAATAAATCTGGGCTGAAAGGTTTATTATAAGGGAATAGTAAATCAAAAACAACTCGTCTTGTTACTGGATTATAGCAGTCATTCTTCCCAGTTCTGTATAACAGGATAACTTGTGTATGCATGTCTGTGCATACATGTGTGTAGGCCAGAGGTCAATGTTGGGTGTCTTCCTTTATCATTCCCCACCTGAGTTTTTGACATAGGGTCTGGGAATGAACCTGGATTTTGCTGTCTGTCTGCTGGCTCGCCATTCAGCTGACACTGGGAAACCGTCAAGCGTAGTTCCTGTGGTTAGGTCATTAGGCTTCTCTAATGTTAGCAGAGAGACTTCGCATGTGCAGTAACAGCAGTCCACCTCCTAAATGCTCTCCTGTGTAAGGAGGAGCAGGCCGTATCCCGCCGTCCGGCTACCTCAACGCCTGAAATAACCACAAGGAAATTGTATTAATTAAATTGCTGCCTGGCCCATTATTTCTAGTCTCTTATGGGCTAACTCTCACATCTTGATTAACCCATTTTTATTAAATCTATGTGTCACCACATGACTGTGGCTTACCGGGAGAGATTCAGCATGTTTGACTTGGCGGCTGGCTCCATGGCGGCTCTCTTAGCCTGCCTTCTTCCTCCCAGCATCCAGTTCTGTCTACTCCACCCACTTAAGGGCTGCCCTATCAAAAGGCCAAGGCAGCTTCTTTATTCAATTAATGAAAACAACACATAAAAAAAAGACCCTCCTACACCACTCTCCGATCTGAGCCCTGCTCTTTGGGGCAATGTTGGTGTGGAGTCGTGACAACACATGCAGTGAGATGCACATGTGTGCTGGGAAGAAGACTGTTGAAGTTGTGTGGAGCTGCTGAAGCCAGCACTGTCAGAGACTGCTCACAATCAACTCCCGCTCATCCTGCATCCAGAAACCTGCTCCTGAGGAGAGGTTTTGTGAATCCCCTGATGTTGGGTTTTCAATCCATAGTTAAGGAAGCTGTGATGTATGTGTATGTTTATTTATTTATTTTGTCTATCAGGATGGGGGTCTCTGTGTCTAACTGTCCTGGAAGTTAACTGTGTAGACCAGGCTGGCCTTGAAGGGGAAGAGGCTGGCAGATCTCTGTGCATTAAAGGTCGTCCTTGTCCGCATAGTAAGTTTCAGAATGGCCAGGGCTACACAGAAACCTCTCTGAAAACAGAACAGAAATTTAGTTTGTGTGCAGCATGCATGTGAAGGGCAGAGGACAGCTAGGAGGAGTCATTTCCCTACAGCCGTATTGATATACTGATCCTGAGGATCGAACACATGCTAGACAAGGACTCTACCACTGAGCTGTATTCCAGTTTGTATTTTATGTGGCCTAGCCTTATATTCCCACCCTCAGATTGATTTGCCTGCTTCTCTTTATGTGTGCTCCAGTATGATCAGTATAAGACTCCTATGGAGAACATTGGGCTGCAGGATTCGCTGCTGTCACGATTTGACCTGCTCTTCATCATGCTGGATCAGATGGATCCTGAGCAGGATCGGGAAATCTCAGACCACGTCCTTAGGATGCACCAGTACAGAGCCCCAGGGGAGCAGGATGGTGATGGTGAGGACGTGGAATAACAAGAGTGACTGGTGGAAGAGGGCCTGACAGATCCCTCCCCCTATACCTTTGGCCCTTCTGTGCTGGGTTAACGTCTCTGTCCTTCTCCCCTTACTTTACTGCTCACTGGGGTTGAGTGTCTGTTCATTTTGGGTTCCGCTGTATTTCTCAGCATCTTCTGGGTGTCTTCTGATTTGTGAGGTCCACATGTCTGTTTCCTCCTGGGTCTTTGGCTATAGAAGAGGCAAGTTCTGAAACTCCTTAATCTCCTTTTTCTCAACTTGTGTTTCCTAGCTTTGCCATTGGGTAGTTCAGTGGATATCCTGGCCACAGATGATCCCGACTTTGCCCAGGATGACCAGCAAGATACCCAGATTTATGAGAAGCATGACAAACTTCTACATGGAAGCAAGAAGAAAAAGTGAGCACCCCTCTTAACTTCTCTTAAAAGAACCTGAGCTGTTGACACACTAGGTTTTCTTTTCTGGGTCTGCAGGTAAACTGTCTTAGCTAGTTGCCTTGCATGTGTCTGGGGTGATTTAGCTCAGGGTCAGATCTTTCCTTGGAAAGCAAGTTTTGACAGAGCCAGGCATGGTTCACACTTACAGTCTCAGCATTCAATTTGGAACTAGCCTGGACTACAGATAACCTGACTCAAAATTGTTTTTGACAATATGCCCAAGTGCTAATGGTGTATGATCGGTCCTTTTAGGTGCCCTCTCGTTCCTTGTGGTAGTTTTTGGTGACTGTTAGTAGCATCACAATCAGCCTTGGAGAGTGAATTTGAGTACAAGAGACTTGATTGGGTCTCAGAGTACATGTGAACTCCTGTAGCTCTCTTTGGCCATGGTGTGGAAAGAAGCATAATTGTGCTGAATTTGAGTTGACTTTTTTTTCTCTTGAGCCAGTATTCCCACCTACAAAATGTGGCTGGTGTCAGGTGTGGTGGTACATACTTCTAATCCCAGCACTCCGGAGGCAGAGGCTAGTGGATTTCTGTGAGTTAGACCAGCCCAACTACACAATTGAGTTTCAAGCCAGCTATTGATAGATAGTGATAGTGTTTCCAAAAATGGGGGACAAGGGTCTGGAGAGATGGTACAGTGGACAAAGGCAGTCCTAGAGGACCTGTGTTCACTTCCTGGCACCCACATTGCAGTTTACAATGTTCTGTAACTCCAGTTTCAGGGGATTCTCTCCTGGCCTCCACGGACACAGGCACACACAGGGTGTATAGACATACATGCAGGCGAAACTCCGTGCACATACCATTAAAATAAATCTCAAAAAAAGAGAAATAAATAAGACTTGTAATACCAAAATGTCTTCTTCCCTAGATTACCCGAGTTACAGATAACACCTGAGGTTGAACAGATGATGCTTGAAATGCTTTGTGTGTGTTCCCTGTTATGGTGGTGGGCTTTAGGCTTCTCATCTCTGCACTGCCATTGGGCCTTGCCTTCTCTGAGAGCTTAAACCATTGCCCAAGATGGCTTAGGAAAATGACATGCATTCTCTTGGATCCAGGGAGAAGATGGTGAGTGCAGCTTTCATGAAGAAATACATCCACGTGGCCAAAATCATTAAGCCCGTCCTGACACCAGAGTCCGCGGCCTACATCGCAGAGGAGTACTCGCGCCTGCGCAGTCAGGACAGCATGAGCTCAGACACTGCCCGGGTGAGCGCACAGGGGGTTGTGGTCCTGAGGGCCTTCTAGACTGTGAGGGCAGGAGTTCTGCTCTTTGGGAACGTGGGGAGTTATTGTTATTTTTTTTAATAATTTATTTTCATTTTATGTGCATTGGTGTTTTTTGTTTGTTCTGCATGTATATCTGTGTGTGGATACCAGATCCCCTGAAACTGGAGTTAAAGACAGTTGTGAGCTGTCATGTGGATGCTGGGAATTGAACCTGGGCCCTCTGGAAGAGCAGCCAGCACTCTTAACCACTGAGCCATCTCGCCAGCTTCCAAAATACATTTCTGTTTCTTTTTGATTTTTCAAGACAAGGTTTCTCTGTGTATCCCTGGCTGTCCTGGAACTTCCTCTATAGATCAGGCAGGCCTCTAACTCACAGAGATCCACCCACCTCTGCCTCCCAAGTGCTGGGATTAGAGGTGTGCTGCCACCACCACCACAACCACCCAGCCACATTCCTGTTCAGAACCTGGGATTTTTAACTTGACTGTCCTTCCTGGTCTGAAGAACTTTGTTAACACACATTTAGTTATCTCTTTTTCTGGAGGAAGTAAAAACCAAGATCACAGATGTAGTGAGAATCTCCCCCAGTGAGCATAGCTAGATTCCAGGGAGTGACCTCGTCTCCATTCTCACATGCAGTGGGAAAGGAACTGAGGGTTCAGACGTGCCCGGTGTGGTAATTAGAAGAGCATGGGCGTGAAGGGCTATTTTGAGTCCAGATGTGAAGAGAAGTGGGTTTTGCTAATGAAAGTCTCTAGAGGGGTGTGAAAGTCAGTGATGCTCTGAATAGCTAGAAGCTGAGTGCCCATGATTCAGAGCAGTAGAGCGGCCCTCAAATTTATCTGTGTCTTCCAGGGACAGTATAGTTCATACAGGACTAAAAGGAGAGAGTCCACAGTTCAAAGCCCTCCACTACGACAGACTTCCACTATGACAGACTTTGAGATCACCTAACTGTCCCCTAATACGTGTTCTGTCTCTGGATTCTATTGGTACTTTTCCTTCCCCTTCTGCCTGCGATAGCATCTTAGAACAAGTTCTTACTTAACTTAAACCTGCTCCCCCAGGCTCTCCCCGTGGGTTCCCTAGGGATCACAGGTCACTTGTTTCCATACTAAATAGCTCCCTTTCTTTAGCCCCGCTCCTCCCGTGCAGGAACAGTTTCAGTGCATCTGTGTCGAGGACCTGCTCACTGGAGCAAGAATTGAGTGCTGTTGTTAGTATGTTGTCCTGGTCAGTCCCTCAGGTTGCATTGTCTAGCTCTGTTAGTGCACATGAAGATTTCACCAGACTTTAGGTGGCACCGAAATTGGATCCTGGAGTGTCTAAACTCCAAGCTCATGGTGTTCCACGTGAGTGCATTCAGGCACTTGTAGATTTGCTTATGAAGATTGGCGTGGGTGGAAATTGGACGGAAGATGATCCAAAAGTAGACGAGAACTGCATGGCAGATTGCACTGAACGTATGCGTATTGGGAAACAAGGCCGTGTGCTAGAGAGTGACCCTGTGCCTGTCAGCTCTGCAGCTGGTCTGCAGCCTTAGCATACGTTCTTCACTGCTCTGGCCAGTCTCCTTGCCCATGACGAGAAGGCTGGCTAATAGCAGGACCCATTTGAAGGCCTTGAAACTTAAAGTAAGCACAGTGTGATTCGTCGGGCCGAGCATCCTATTGAGGGAATAGCAGCTAGAGAAGACACCGGCACCCGCTTTGGTTTGCAGCCTCCCCATGAGCCGTGTGGCAGGAACGCGTCAGGCTCCTCTTTCTGTAAGTGAGAGAGACTAACTACTCACAGGAGCCTGTCCTCGGAGCTCAACTTCACACAGGTGGCCACCTTCGTGCGGCCTTTGACAGATTCAGCTCTTTGATTCACATGTCCTCCTCTGTAAAGTGCCTAGTTAAGAGGAGTGGCTTACAGAATGTACTTAGCTCCCCGGTGCATTGTGGGCCTGCAGCAAGGAATGATTTTCCCCACTTTGCTTTTGTGCTCTCTATTTTTTTGGCAGTTGTAGACTGGCTAGTTTCTTCCTTTCGTTCACCTTTCCTCTCTCCTCTCTCCCTAAATACTCTAACTTGGTTTCTGTAGCACGATTAATAAAAACCCACAGATACTGGAGTTCAGCCTGAAAGTCAGAAAAACAAAACAGCCAGCCATTGACTCTTACCTCTACCTCAGTCCAAAATGGCCATCCTGCCTTCAGGACTCTCAGAAGGAGACTGTGTGAGACTCCTCGTTTTCTCTAATTAAAGGCCTGCACCACTACCGCCTGGTTTCTGTGGCAAACTAGCGTGGCTACTGGGATTAAAGGTGTGTCACCACTGCCTGGTCTGTAAGGCTGATCTGTGGGGCTGTTTTACTCTTTTAACTTTAGGCAAGCTTTATTTATTAAAATACAAATAAAATATTACTACTTGGCTATTTTTCTTTTTTTTTTTTTTCAAGACAGAGTTTCTCTGGCCTAGCTGTCCTGGAACTAGGAACTAGCTCTTGGAGACCAGGCTGGCCTTGAACTCAGAGATCCACCTGTCTGCCTTGTGTGTGCTGGGATTAAAGGCGTGCGCCTTCGTCTTTCAGCTACCACTGTTTCTTACCCTTCTGAATTTTTAAGAATTAATTTAGTTGTTGACCATCTCATGCATGTGTATAATGTGCTCTGCTTACTTCTTATCTCACGTCCTTAGCGCCCTCTCCCCTGCCCTAGTGGTGTCTTGTGGATGCTCCCCACTTAGTTTAAGCAGGATTATCTGTGTGATTGTACCTATGCATTGTCGCTTGTGGGGTCGCCAGTGGACAGACACAGGAAAACAGTGACTTCCCCGTCCTTGAATCTACTGGTGACAAACAGTTCAGCAGTGAGTAGGGCCTCTTGAGTCCTCCATCTGTGCTTTGTTGTCGGTGGCCTAGTCTGGTAGACGCAGTGCAGGCACCCACACTGGGAGCTTGTGGTCGTAATGTCTTTTGCCATACCCAGAAGATGGCATTCACAGGTCTTCTGCTGGTCTTCCGATCCTTTTATTTTCCTTACTCGATTTCACTGTTCCCTGCACCTGAGGGGGTGGTGGAAATGTCGTTTGGGGCGGAGCACTCAACGGCCTCTTGTTCTCAGCATGTTGGGCAGCCATGACTCAGTGAGCCTTCTCTGCTCACTGGAGGGAGAAATTGATCAGACTGAGGATGGCGTTAGTGGGGTACTGGCGACTTTCTGAACTTAAGTTGCGCCCACCTGCAGAGAAGACAGACCTGGGACTTTCTGAGTATTTCTGGTAGCGCCTTCTTTTTTTCTGTGCAGTGAGAATGACACACGTTCCCTCAGAAGTAATTCCCTCCTGTTTCCTTCCCTAGACATCTCCAGTTACGGCACGAACACTGGAAACGCTGATCCGGCTGGCCACAGCCCATGCGAAGGCCCGTATGAGCAAGACCGTGGAGCTGCAGGATGCGGAGGAAGCCGTGGAGCTGGTTCAGTATGCTTACTTCAAGAAGGTGAGCCTTCAGGGAGCCCCTCGGAAGAGGAGGCAGAAAGTGTAAGCCAGAGAGGATGGAGGACACCTGGAGAACGAGGCCCTCTAAATCAGCTGTGCAAAGGGCATGCGAGTCTCCCAGAGACTGAAGCAGCAAGCACAGGGCCTGCAAGGGTCTGCACCAGAGTCTCTGCGAATGTGTTACTGCTCTCAGTTTAGAGAGCTGAGTTTATTTTTGTAGGACTCCTGAGTGCTGAATGACTGGGTCTCGGACTTGTGGACTTTTCTTGGAAACTCTTCTTTCCATTGGTTTGCCCTGTCCAGCTTCAGTATGATGGTTTTTGTTTTAGCTCGTTATATTTTATTTTGTCATATGTGATTGTTATCTCTTAGAAACCTGTTCTTTTCTAGTGAGAGTCAGAGAGTGGATCTGGACAGGGAGGAACTGGGAGGAGCAGAGGGAGGGGAAACTATAATTAGGATATATTTTGTGAAAAAATTTGTTTTTAATAAAGGGGGAGAAAATAAGGTAAATAAAGTGAGCCCTGTTGCCGTTGCCTACTGCTCATCTGAAGAGCTGTAGACCTCGGAGGTTTAGAGCTATGGTTCTGCCATGCTTTTCCTGTTTCTCTCTCCTTACAAAGTCGGGAATTGTGTTGAATTTCAACTAAATACCTGCTCTATAAAGAATTGATTATTGTCCCCTTAACCATAATGATTTGGACACCTCCCCAAATGCCTTTTTACCCAGTGAACCTGAGTACCTGCTATGACAGGCTTCCCGGTATTGGTGAAAGGCGGCTAGAAGCTTCCCCTGCCTCTGGTCCTGGGATGTGGACTGGGAAGGACAGAGATAAGTCTTAGAAACTTGGAAGTCATTTCTGCTGGTGATGGAGAAGAGACTCAAGGTTCCTTACTGAGTTTTGCACTAGTGACGTCCCTTGGTTTGGTTTTAGGTTCTGGAGAAGGAGAAGAAACGTAAGAAGCCAAGTGAGGATGAGTCAGACCTGGAAGATGAAGAGGAGAAGAGTCAGGAAGACTCCGAACAGAAGCAGAAGAGGTGCGGTGGGGCAGTGAGAAATGAGACGAGAAGCTGTTGGGGCGGAGAGAGTCTGCTTGTTGGCTGGTTCCTCACAGCCCTGCAGGGTTTGCAGAGGAAGGTAGTTGGGCACAGGAGTGGGAGGAGAGCCTCTGTGTTGTTCAGGATGGTTTCCTATAAGGGATGCTGAGTGACAGAAGTGATGCCATCATTAGGTCGTCAGATGTTCTTAAGGCAATTTTTCCCCTGCTGCACAATCATTTATTAGGCTGGTGTCAGGGACCCAGAGCACTGGATAGCAGGGCCTGGAGAATGTCTTTCAGGAAATACAGCAGTTTGTTCAGGCCTGAGTGATTCAGATGTTTCTTGTTGGTTATGCATTGTTCTGGTGTGCCCCAAAATGGAACTCCCTGGAGCTGTGTCAGTTTCTTGACTGCTACGTTTATTTCAGGAGGAAGACCGACGCCACAGCTGGGGAGTCCTATGACCCTTACGACTTCGGTGAAGCCGAGAAGGAAATGCCTCAGGGTGAGTGAGCGTGCCTCGTGACCGTGCCAGCTGCGGTTTGTGCTGCCTTTTCTCCAAGAGAGCCTTGGAAACCCAGTGCAAACTTAAGAAGTTTGACTTAGCTGTTGGCTTCTTCCTTTATTTTGTATGACCTTTTGCCATGCCTGGTTTAAGCATCCCAGATAATGCATTATTAAGGGTCTCCTGCTTCACTCAGTTCCTCTACTCATGGGGGATTTCCCTGTATTTATTATCCTGCCCGGCCCTGTAAGAACCATGGGAGACAGCAAGATGGGGAGGATGTGGATTCTCAGTGTTGGTGGAAATGGCTTCACCTTGCTGTCTCCCCCACCCCGGCATTGCTCCCTTGAAGTGTACACTCCGAAGACTGACGATTCTCAGGAGACCACGGAATCCCAGAAAGTGGAGCTGAGCGAGTCCAGGTGAGTCATCTGCTTGTGCTTGGGAATTCCTGCTGATGGGGGACCAGCTTCCGGCAGAGTGCCAGCCGCCTCTGTCGAGCTGAGCTAGAACCCTTTACAATACTCCACTTTACAATACTCCACTGCTCCTAATGCCAGGCTCACCAAAGTCAGGCCAGTGTCTGAATGCCCGCTGGTTTTCTGTACTTTCTTTGTGGAAATTGAGTTGTTACTTTTAAATCAAGAAGTGGCTTAATTCACCAAGGACAAATTTTGATTTGTATCTTAGCTTTGGCTTCTCAGTGAGGTACTTTTTTTTTTTTTTTAAATTGTGTCTATTTGATTTGACACAGATTTTTACTAGGGCTTTGAAAAATATTTTTTCCCCTGAAATTTAATGTTTACTGGACACCAAAGAAACTAATTTTTTAGAAGATACAGAACACCATGCAGTCAAACGAGGGAAATATTTAGAGAGGAACACTAAAACCAGTTGTAATTCCATGCTCCGGAAACTGTCACTGAACCCTGTGCTTTCTGAGTTGACTCAGAATTCCAGGGCGTGCTGTGTGTAGAATCTTTGGTTTTTAAAACACTTTGCTATACAAAGCAGACTGGCCTTAAACTCAGAGATTCCCCCTTCCCCTGAATCCTGAGTGCTGGGATTAAAGGCATGTGCCCCCTCGCCTAGTTTGATGTATAGATTTTATTTGTTTGTTTTGAGACAGGGTTTCTCTGTATAACAGCCCTGACTGTTCTGGAACTCACTTTGTAGACCAGGCTGGTCTCGAACGCACATAGATCAGTCTGGCTTTGCCTCCCAAGTGTGCGCCACCACTGTCTGATAATATATAGATTCTTAAATAAGCTCTTGAACGGCATTGAGGTGGCTCCTTGTCACTGCCGTTTACGGTGAAACATACTTAGGTTTGTTGCACGGCACACTCATGAGGCATGGCAAGGTTCCTAGACTGGAGGAGAGGTGTGGGCCTCTTTAACTACCGTGAATAAACTGTCCCTCAGATACTGTGCCAGCCGATCTACTGTGCTGTGTGCAGGATTGCCGGTCTCTTTAACAGCCTCCAGGTTTCACTGGCCCCCTCATGTTCAAATTGCAGGAAGCTCTATGAGCAGTGTAGGTTAGCTTTAAAGAGAGATGCTTAGACTGTTGGGAGAACACTAATGTTAATGCTTCATATCTAACCTTGCCGTAGAGCTTCAGGCTTGTGTAGGACCATTTTGTTTAAGACTTGGTCTCACCATGTGGTACAGACTGCTTGTGAATTTAAGGGCTTCCTTCCTCCAGCCTCAGCTTCCTCAGTGCTGCTATTGCATAGGTGCTGCAGTTGCCCGACTTCTCTGCTCATGGTTTTCCTCTCTCGGGCAGGTTGAAGGCTTTCAAGGCGGCCCTCTTGGATGTGTTTCGAGAAGCTCACGCGCAGTCTGTGGGCATGAGCCACCTCACAGAATCCATTAATCGGGATAGAGAAGAGCCCTTCTCCTCAGAGGAGATCCAGGCATCACTGAGCAGAATGCAGGATGACAACCAGGTCATGGTATCTGAGGGCATCATCTTCCTTATCTGAGCAGGGTATGCCTGAAGTCGCTCCTGCCAAGGACTGCCCTGTTCCCACCTTTGTCTCCATTCTCCAGTAACTGTTTAGTGGTGGAAGCTGCGGAACGTGGGTGACGAGGCTGTCAGGACTTGGTGGACGCTCTGAGAATGGCTGCTGCTGTGGGCTAGAGCTGGCAGAGGGAGGGCGGGCCAGGACTCTGGTTACACACCTTCCAGCCTTAAATGATGGAAAGTTATTTCAGGACTTGTTGGGTTTGGGGGCGCAACTGTTTTCTGTGTTATTGCTTGTGTTTTTAATTCTTCCGCCACCCCCAAGCACTTTAGTCTAGGACAAGCCTTGAGGTCTGTTTGCCAGAGTGGCTCAAGCAGATCACAAAGGTGGATTGGAGAAAGCTTTCTTTGCAGTTAAATTAGTCTAAAACGTAAGATGTATTGTTGACCTAAATATCCGAGATATTGACACCGAGTAAATATAACTGTTTTATACATGTGGACTTTGTATTCTGTGCTTTAAAAATAGCGTGTGCACGTGTGTGTGTTGGAACTGGGACATGTGTGGGGATCAGTGGGCATCTCGTGTGGGTTGGTTTTCATCTACCATGTGGATCCTAGGGATCTAACTCGGGTACCGGTCTTGGCAGCAGGCTTTACCCTCTGAGCTGTCTCAGGCCTTGGCCCCCTTGAAGATATTTTTCTCTTTTTAGCTCCATCATAAAAACATTCCAAATGAAATCACACGGTGACCAACCTGGTCTACAGAGCAAGTTGTAGGACAGCCAGGGCTACAAAGAGACCCTGTCTTGAAAAATAGAGCAAAATAAATAAATAAAAACCACACTGAAATTAGCTAGACCCAAAGACTGTACAGCTCAATGAGCTTCTCTGCCTTCAGAGTAGCCATTGGGAAGGGAGGCTGTGGAGGTCACCCGAATTTTATGCTTTCGCTACTGAATTGATTTTTATGCACTTAACCCACCACCAACAAAGAAAACGTCATGGCAGAGTTAAACTAGAAAGAACTCATGGGTTAGTCCTCCTCCTGCCTCAGTGTCCAGCCTTCTGTTCTCCTGTCCACATGTTACACTGTACCCACGTGTACACTGACAAGGTTCCATATGTGAGGGATAACGTGCTTGTTTTTCCAAGGCTGTGACATCACTTAATATGTATTCTATGTGTTCCTATAAATTTTGTGATTACTTCTTAGAGTTGAATGCTACTTTATTTCTTATATATCTCAAATTTTATCCGTTCACCTGGACAACTGAATGGATTCCAGTTCTTTGCCACCGTGAATAAAGCAGCAATAAACATGGGGTTTACCTCTGGTAGGGTGTGGAATCAACGAAGGGTACAAGTATCTACCCCACTTGTATGGGTATGGAGTTCTCTGGGGCGTGTGCCCAGGATGTAAAGGTTTGGGTCATACAGTAGTTTTATTTTTAATGTCTTTAGAACTCTTCAAACTCATCTCCCCAATGGCTGTATGCTTTTTATAATGCATATTTAATTTCATTTGCAGGATTAGCTTCTGCTTTTACATCAGGTCGCCACAAGGTGGCAGCAGCCTGCTGTGATCTCTTTTGCGGATTTATTTCTGTCCTGTAGTTTTTTTTCTTAGCAAACTATTTGTCAGCTAAAACAGATTGTGCACACCAGGCCCTGCTCTTTGGAAAAGCTTAATAAACACGTCGGCCACCGGAAGTCCAGGGAAACTGGCTCAATCAAGGTTCCTTTTTAGAGGACTTGTGATTTATGTCAGAAACCCTTAAAATGGTTCTTATCTGTAGCCTTGCAGGGTACTTCTGCAGTTACTTGGCATTGAGACATTTGTTTCTTTTTAAGTGTGTACAGGGCCAGCATAAATTTCTCTGTGTAGAGTAGCTTTTGAAGAACTTTTTTTTCTTTTTTTTTTTTTTTTCTTCTTTTTCTTTTCTTCTTTTGGCCAGGGTTTCTCTGTGTAGCTTCGGAGCCTGTCCTGGAACTCACTCTGTAGACTAGGCTGGCCTTGAACTCCCAGAGATCCTCCTGCCTCTGCCTCTGCCTCCTGCTGGGATTAAAGGCGTGCACCGCCCGGCCACCTTTCAAAGAACTTTTAAATTTTCTTAAAAGCACAACGCATGTGTTTGGGGTGTGACAGACCTAAGCTGTGTCCTGGTGGCAGATGAGCCCCGGGGGTACGAAGCAGAAGCTTCCGTAGCTGTTCCTGCCAAGGTTTTATTCTGGTGTGAGGATGAGGACAAAATTATTGGTGAGTTTCATTATTGGTGAGATTCACACACACACACACACCCGGCACACACGCACAGCGTATACACAGACCGGAGCTCCTAAGTTCTACGAAGAGTAATTAGAGCACAGGTCAAAAGAGGGTGTGTCCTGCAGGAGGCACCGACTGACACTGAGTACTGGCAGTGAGGCAGAAATCACACAGTGGGCCGCAGTTGGTGCAGGAAAAGCTGTGGGAATAAAGAGACTGGGCTAGAGGAGGAGGGTGGGGGCAGCTGATGGATAGTTCTGTAAAGAAAAGTTTCAAGATTTTAGGGGTCTCAAATGGTTGCTCCAGAAATCTCAAAGGTTCCTTCAGCTAGACTTTCCACCTCTGGGGAAACAGTCACAGTGTGGGAGGGCAACGAGCATTGAGTATGGGCCACTCTGGCTGCCTCCTGCTTAGCTAAAAGGTAGAAGACGGTTTGATGTAAATACCAAGGGCACCATCATGTCATTGTCTAGAACCCACATGTCATTGTACAGAACCCACGGCAGACACCTAAAAGTGCTGTCTAGGGGACCAGGAAGGTGGCTCTGGATAAAAGCTGGTCATGCGATGCTGATAACCTAAGCTGATTACTAAAAGCTTGATACAAGGCCAGATCTGAGCCTCCCTGTAACCTGGGCACTCCGTGGTGAGATGGGAGGTGGGGATGGGAGACTAGAAGCTCGTAGGTTACCTAGTGTGGCCCACGTGAGAGACCCTGCCTCAAAGTTGAAGAATCAACCAAAAGGCTGTTGTCTGACCTATACATGTACCATGACGTGTATGTGCATGCGTGTGCATGTGCGCATACACACACAGTGCTCAGCCTGTGACTAGATGCTCCTGACAGCTATCGCAGTGTACTGACTTGGACTCATTAGAAAAACCATGCTTAAGCTGTTCGGACTGCAGAGATTGCTCATGTTAAGCGTGCACAGTGGACTTGCACAGGTTCCTAGCACCCATATTGGGCTGCTCACAACCTCATCTGACTTCAGCATTCCAGCAATGCGCCGACACACAACTAAAAATAGTAAACGTTGAAAACGCATTGCTTTCAAAAGACTACTAAGTTGTCTGCATTCCTCATTCCAAAGAAGCCTGCTTACATTTAGGTTTGCTATCTGAAGTAGCTAAGCAGGTTCTGGGGCTTAGAGGAGGAAGGTTTTCCTATTTTGAGAAATTAGAGCATCATAGATAGGGCCCTGGGTGGATGAAATGTTGATTTAAAAAGGGATTCTCGAAGTAGCCTGGGAAAGGTATTGGAATTGAGTCTGCCACTGAGCGCAGATAACTAGAGAAAAAGCTTGTGTTGCTTGGTAATCTGTAAAATGGGGCTACCTTTTTGTAGGTTACTTATGAGCCATGTGGGCCTCTGTTTCCACAAAACTGAATTCCTAGGGGCTGGAGACATAACTCTGGTAGAGTGCTTACTTAGCATCCACAAGGCCTTGGGTTCAATCGCGAGCATCCTCTTGAATTCATGCCCCCTTTTTCTGTCCTTTGGTGGTTCCTGTTGTACATGCAGTGTGGGCCTGGCTGAAGCACCTCCCTTGTGGTAGGGTCTCTAGCTCTCCCCATGGGACTGCTAGTTCCTGCGACAGGCAGTGTTGGCAGCCCTGTGACCTAGGTCAGGGGAACCTGGAGAGGAAAAGGGAAAGACAAACTCAGGTGTGGCTACCTCGTTCCTGCACGGTTTTTCCCCTTGATGACTGTTCGGTCTACACTAGCTGTTGTAATGGATCTGGACGTTTAGATTTTTTTAAAGCCTGTGTTTATGGTGCCTGTAGATGTATCCATGTGTGTATGGGGCACACTTGCCCATATGTGTGTGCATGTGGAAACCCAGAAGTTGACATCAAGCGTCTTACCTCATACTGCCGTCATCATAATTTCTATTATTCTTGTCATTATTATTATTGAGACAAGCTCCCTTACTAACCCTGGAGCTGGATATTTCCGACTGACTGGCGGACCAATGGACCCCAAGAATATGTCTGTGTCTACCTCACTGGACTGTGGTTACACCCCGCTTTGACATAGGTTCTGTGGATCTGAACTTGGGTCCTCATGTACAGCAAGCATTTTACCCACTGATCCATCTCCACAACTGCTGGGAGAGTTTTTCCAGGAAACCTACTAAGGTCCTTAGATCAGAGTTCACCCTGGGAAACCAGTGGGTTTACTGGACTTCCTTACAGTGCAGGGGCAGGAGAGCCCTAGCTTGTGTGCTTGGAAGACTGCATTCTACAATACCAGCCCCACAATGCCAGACTTTCCGAGGTAAGATCTACTCAAAGTGCTTGGTCAATGGACTAAGGTAGGTAGGTGGGAGTCACCTGTGCTCTGACTGCTGCAGCCATTCAGTCTTTGGGACAGCTCTGTGTGGTTGCTCCCCCTTGCTGCTCTCCTCCGGGACACTGTAACCCCACTGCTGTTTTCTGGGTGTGGAGATGGGAGTGGGACTGGCCACACAGGAAATGTCACTATAGAGCTACAGGGTGCCCAAGGAATGTAAGTCTTCATTAAGGTATTCAGGTGCCTTTCTCTGACACTGCCTTTATCCTGAATGAGGCCAGCCACATCCTTAAAGGAGTGTGCATGGTTTCTTAACAAAAGTATTTGTGATGTGGCAAGACGTTACCTGGGGAGGTGCCGCACACACATGCCTCCGCATCCTAGATTGGGAGCCCACAGCAGATCAAAGTCGGGTCTACATCCGAAGAGCTTGATGAAGCAATGAACCAGTTTTATTGGGGACTTGTGGGAACATGGGTGGGGGCTTCCTTACAGGAGCAGAATGACTCAATGACAGCTGCATCACCAAAGCCCACCCCGGCATGGATGACAGCTCACAAAGGCTGGGGATCTGGAGCCCACAGCATAGCCTGGTGCCAGCACAGCACAGTTAGAAACAGCACTCTCTGTTTGTCTAAACCTCTTGCAGGCAGCTCAGCCTGTCACTGCTTCTTCCAAGCCCCTTGACTGCCCTGACAGTCTTTGGACCTTGAGTTGTCTGCTCTGGAGAAGAAGGGGCCTAGTGAATCTGGTCAGTTTCAGGGACTTCCTGACGCTGTTCTGAGTTAGCTTCCTTACCAAAGGGAATCCTTCACTTTGCACAGCAGGATTTCAATACCTGGTTACGTACAGTCATTCCAAAGCTGTGAATGATACCAAAGTCTGAGAAGCCCAAGTCCCTTAATGTAAAATGGTGTCTTACTCGCAGATTCT